AAAGAGAGAGTAAGAGAGCGAGAGAGAGAGAGAGAGAGAGAGAGAGAGAGAAAGACAGAGAAGGATTGAGAGAAAGAGAGAGAAGGAAAATGCACGACACACAAGCCGGTTTACGTCACTTTAGGGGTAAAAGATATATAATAAGAGGAAACACGATGGTAGCTCGAAGCAGTTGCCAACTCGAAGGACAAGTCGAATGGCGGATCTAACAGAGTTTTAGGTCCGTTTAGGGTCCGTTCGAGACTCCGCTTGTCCCGTTATCCCAATGCAATAGCCAACATTGTCACTGACACATACGTAGATACATACATACATACATACATACATACATACATACATACATACATACATACATACAGTCGTACAATTACAGACAGATCCAATATTCGTAAGTATAGAGAGACTTAGCCGCTGGATGCGCGTGGACGCGCGCACAAACATACACATACGCGCACAAACAAACACACATAAACATACACACGGTGCTACATCGTGCTCGTGTGCAAAGTTATCGGCGCGGAGTTATCGGGAAGGAAGAAGATCGAGGGTGATGCATGGGGTTTCCGTCGATGCAACAAGCTCGTTACGCTCGATGTGCTTCATTCTCCTCCTCTTCCTTCTCCTCCTCCTCCTCCTCCTCCTCCTCCTCCTCCCCCACCTTCACCACCATATCCAATAACTCCTACACCTTCTCCCAACGATAGATGCTTTCTCTTTTCTCTCTTTTCCTCTCTTTCTCTCTATCTCTCTCTCTCTCTCTCTGTTTCTCTCTCCTTTTACAGTCTCCTTCTTCTCTCTTACTCCACACTCTGTCCCTCTGTCAGAAAAGAGGGATGGAGAGACGATCGATGTTGGCGCGTTTACAGAACGTCCTCGCAATCGACCAGTCACCTCGCGAAGGATCCGGCGTGCAGAAGCAAGAGCAGCAACGCTAGTGTCCTCGTGGCAGCACCGCTGTTACTTGAATTTCCATGCTGCATTGCTGCCGGATGTTCTCCTGAAACAGAATGAGCCAAGGAATACATAAATCAATGTTCCATTTTCAACCTATGAGAATTAGGGTAGATGTCGTTGAGATTAATGTCGTATTAGTTTCGTACGAAAAATTTATTTAATATTTTATTCGTTAGGTTTTTCTTTTTTTTTCTTTTTTTTCTCTTTTTTCTTTTTGTCATTATCGCTTTTAAATCGTTACATCATCGTTAAAAATCATTTATGTTAATTGATAATTTGACCATGAATGATGGTATTCTTGTTTTAATTTATTTCTTTAAATTTGTATCGTCTATTTAGATCGTAATAAACGATCAATGTAAATAAACAAGATTACAATGTAAATTACGAGCGAATGAGACAACTGATAATACATAATCCAATGTTTCATTTCTACGATCGAATTTAACATGACAATTCAATTAATGTTTATGAAGAAAAAAAAATATGTATGTATATATATATATATATATATATATATATATATATATATATATATATATATATATATTTCTTCGTAGGTCTTTCTCGATAATATGATTGAAAGAAGCTTAGAATTAACGTGTTAAAGGATAAAAATATATCATCGATAAATTGTAATTACGAATTGTTATTAATTGTCGTATATATAATAACAACAACAATAATAATAAACGAGATTATATAATAAAAATAATGATGATGATAATAATAATATAATAATAATAATAATAAACGAGATTATATAATAAAAATAATTATGATGATAATAATAATATAATAATAATAATAATAATAATAATAATAAACGAGATTATATAATAAAAATAATGATGATGATAATAATATAATAATAATAATAAAAATAATAATAATAATAATAATAATAATAATAATAATAATAATAATAAACGAGATTATTGAAAGAAAAAATAAGCCGAGGAATATATAATTCAATATTCTATTTTCGCAATTGAATTTTGTTAGATACCTATGTATGTATATATATGTATGTATGTATGTCTCATAGTATATTCCGTCGATTCAACGATTCAATTAAAAAATTTCCATTCAAAAATTAGAATCGTGAATTTTCTTGTAATAAAGATTATAAAAATAATTGAGAGTAAATTCTATATATATATATATATTTTTTTTTTAATCTTTGATTCTATATATATGTATAGAACCAAAAAAAAAAAAAAAAAGAAAAAAAAGAAGAACAGAACAAAAAGAAGAAAAGCGAAAATTCCGAAAAAGTAAAAGAGAGAGAGAGAAAAGAGAAAAGAACGATGAAAGGAAGGTGAAAAACAAAAAAGTAAAAGAAGACAAAGAAAGAAAAAATGAAAAGAACGTTTCGAAGGGATGAGAGAAAATGGTGGGGAAACAGCATTTCAACTAAGTTCGAAACGAATCGTTGGAAATTTCATTCTGTCGCATGGCCGATCGGATCATCGAATTGCTAATTGTGGACGAGCGAAAAGGATAATTGAAGGAACCGACCGAATCGAATTAATTTCCTTTCGTTTCTGTCCCTTCACCCCTCTCTCTCTCTCTCTCTCTCTCTCTCTCTAACTTCGGCAGACAAACGAGAGAAGTTATTTTCAACGATGCGAATCGAGAAGGTTCCGCGGTGTAATTACGTACCAGAGATCGAAGTTATTGTCGAAGAAAATTAATCCTTTTCTCTTTCGATCTATCCCCGTAAACCGCTATTGGCACTTTCCGATCAACGTTAATATCGCATCTTTCGATTACACTTTAGAACCAACATTTCTTTCTTTTTTTCTTCCCTTTTTTTTTTCTTTTTTTCTTTTTTTCTTCTTCCTTTATTCTTTTTTCTTTCCCCCAATAGAACGATAGAATTTTAATCAAGGATATTACTAAGCGATATTAATGCGGTCGCGCACGTGTGATAAACCTCGTGGGTATACAACGCGAGAAAAGTTTGGTGCAATGAAGAAGACAGGGTGGAGAGAGGGAAAGAGAGGAAGAGAGAGAGATAGAGGAAGAGAGAGAGAGAGAGAGAGAGAGAGAGAGAATAAAAATGAGTTTGATAAAAACGATCTTCTTTCTCTCTCTCTCTCTTTCTCTTTCTCTCTCGCTTTCGCATCTCAACGAAGCTCTTAGAAAAATAAACGATGCCACGAAATGTTTTTATTAAGCGAACGATTTTCCCTGGTCCTCCTCCATACACCAGTTAAAATCCTTCGAAATCGTTGTGGAAGGATCGATGGATCCCTATTACATCCAATCCTTCGTCGAACTCCTATTCCTTTTTTCAAACTTCTTTTATATTCCTTTTTCCTTTCTCTTTTCTTTTCTTTTTTTTTTCTTTCTTTTTTTTCTATGTGTTTTCTTTTCTTTTTTCTCTTTCCTTTCGGATCTTTTTCTTGTGTCTGCTCTTTGTTTTCTTTTTTTTTTGTTTTTTTGTTTTTTCTTTTTTTTTTTTTTTTGTTATTCTTCTCTCTTTTATCAAGACATACGAAAAGCAAGGCATTGTTCAATTTATTGCGGGCAATCCGACGAACGGATAACTGTGGTCACAAAAAGTGCTCGTTTCTCATGGGAAACGGACCATCAGCCTTTTTCTACGGGAGTTGGCGGTGCTGAGGAATGGTGGGAGATGGAGAGAGGGGTGGTGGGTGGTGGAGGGAACGGGTTAGATAGGTGGATAGGTAGGAAATAAGAGGGGCAAAAAAACTTGGTGCAACGAGAACTTAGAATGCATTTGAGAATGGATGGAAAGAAAACGACGAAGGGCGACTGAACGATGATGGTAACGACATGTAGGCGGGGGGGGGGTAGAGGAAGGGTGGAAAATGAGGAGGGAGAGAGAAAAGGTTGTCCATCCTCGAGCATCTGGAAATTTTCATCGTTTGCCTGAGCGACCGTTTTCCATTGCTGAACTTTGATCGTTTGGAAGAAAAGAAAAAGAAAAAGAAAAAGAAAAAGAGAAAGAAAAATAAAGATAATTTTTTTCATTTGTAAATAACATACGTTGAATAGAAATTCGTCAGAATGACGATATTATAGAGAAAATTTATTATTTAGTATGTATGTATGTATGTATGTAAAAAAATAGATATATTTTATAGATATATTTTTTATTATGCTAATAATTTCTAAGTAAATATTATAAAAGACTATAATATTAAAGAAATTATAGTAGATAAACTTTTATTAGCTTACAAATTATAAAGAAAATTATTCATTATATTTATAAATATTTATATATTTATATATCGAATAATAAAATATGTACGAGGAAATTCTACTGACATCAAATAAAGAAAATTTAATCTATATAATTAATTAATGAATGATACATTTAATTTCAATTGTTATTCGATTATTATCCGACAATTTTTCTACGTGTTATTATGCACCTCAATGATAATTCTTATTTATAAATTGAAATGATTAAATCATTCAAATGATTAAATTATTATCTGATAATAATGGGACTATAAAAAGTTTTTAAATTTACTTACGAATTGACTTGTTTTTAAGTAATACTTTTATATCGTTTATAAAAAAAATTACGAGGACGTTGTATTTCGTAAATTTTTCTTTTCTTTTTGTTACTTTTAAATTATAATAAAGGAAATCGCATTGAATAATCCGATATTATAATAGATTCAACTTTCAATAATGTCATTGATTGATATCATTAAAGATATATCTGTGGAAGAAACTAAAAAAACTAAAAAAAAAAAAAAAAAAAAAAAAAAAAGAAATAATATTTCCTTCGCAATTTAACTTTGCACTTAGGAATATGAAAAATCTTCGTACGGTTGCCATTCGTCATTTTCGTATGTTAAAAAAGTGTCAGGAAAATCGGGGTAAAACGCACGGTAAAGCTCTTTCTTGACGGGATAAAATCGTGCTCGTCACGCATCGAAAAGAAGAATCGACGAAATGGTTCTCTGGATTGCGTACTTCTTAAGAAAAGATTCAGGAAAGAGGAGGTATTCTCGTTTCCTTGAAATTTCAAATCCATCCACGAAAACCATCGAGCATACTTTAAATCGATCTATCCTTTGCACACGCGCAAAAGGAAAAGTATCAAATAAATATTTGAAAATTGTGCATATTCGATAACTCATGGTTATGTGCAAAAAATTAAAAAAAAAAAAAAAAAAAAAAATAAATAAAGGAAGAAAGAGAGGAATAAAAAAAGAGAAAAACTAGAACGGAATAAATCGTTTGAATCGTTGGAAAAAGGAATTTCTCTTTTCTCTTTTAACATTTTATTTTTTCCCTCCATCCCACTTCCACCCCTTCGCCCTGTCGTTTCGTCGTTGAACACGATGTAATTTTAATTAGCCGCGTTAATGCCGAAATATTCGAAACGGACGAGAAAGAGAAAAAGAGAGAGAAAGAGAGAAAGAGAAAGAGAGAGAGAGAGAGAAAGAGAAAGAGAAAGAGAAAGAGAAAGAGAAAGAGAGAGAGAGAGAGAGAGAGAGAGAGAAAATAATACGTGATTTTTGCTGTAACGTTTCAAACGCGAACGTGCACATATACAATCATCGATTTATAATTCGCCGTTAACGATGTATGAAATAAAAATAAGAAATGTACATTATGTGTATAAAGGTACCTGTGTAATATACATACATGTATATATATATATATATATATATATATATATATATATATTTGTGTATATGTGAAAACGAAGCAAAAATCGTCGAAAAGACGGAACGTGGAAAGGGCAACGAGACCAAACGTGATTCAACGAGCGCCGGCAAACTCGTTAATTTGCCATTGTTGATTCGCCATTCCCCTAATTATCCGGGTAAAATGCCGCGGACGAGTTCTCGCAGAATTGGTATTCGCGCGTATACGTTATAACAAAACGTATGCGGGTGGAACGTCATTCATCGACTAATACCTCGTTTAAAAATTGCATCGTGACATAAACGTAGTCTTCGAATTCCATTGGTGGAAATAATGAAGCGAATTTTTATTCACGTTGAATTTACTCTCTCTCTCTCTCTCTCTCTCTCTCGTACTTTCTGT